TTTAATATTAATAATATTTCTATATTATTATTTTTGTCTAACTCATTTATCTTTTTTTGAAACAAATATTTTTTTTTTCTAACTCATTTGTGTTTTTATAAATAAATGGGAACAAATAATAGTTTTAATAAGAAAAAAAAGGGATATTCCTTTTATTTTCTCTTTATTTTTCTAAAGTTTTTAAATCGTGGACTTTAGTGAGTCATGGCAGTTGGACCAGGAACCACGTCAAATTTGTACAGCAAATCCATTCTTTTCCACGTTGCTTATTCTTACTGGTCCTGCGTCGTGTTACGTTGCCACATCAGCACTCCTTTCCTTCACGCGCTTCGTTAATATCTATATAAAATTAAATTAAATAAAATGAAATGAAATACCATTGAATCGCAAAAATTACATCTGCGAGAGGGTTCCGTCCGATTTCTCACCCCTGGTTCGTGCATTTTCTTCCCCCATTCTCAGTTTTCCGATCATTCAAATTTACCTCAGATCTGAAACTTCTTCGTTTTCGTCGCAGTGTTTACATTTGAATTCAGAAGTTTTCTTTGTTAATTAATTTTTAGCTGTTTTTGAATCGTTAATATATTGAAAAAATGAATCGTTGGACATATTTTATTCGAAATCACAGATCTGCCACGCATCTGCATCTGCATCTGATTGATTTTTTTTTTTTTTTTCCTTTTCATGTTAGATCTTTTTACATTTGATTTTCTGATCGCATTTGTGTTTTTATTTATCGTTGGTCTGGATTGATGTTTCGATTCGTCAATTGTTCTTCCCAAAGGGGCAATTTTCAAGGGTTTGATTTATGTGTGTTTGCTGATCTGTGTGAACGCTTCAATTCGACATGCAGTTTTAATTAGCAAAATTGATTTATGTGTTTAATGGGCAGTTTTAATTAGCAAAATTGATCATATTGCATGAATTATCCATGTTCCTTTTTGAGTTCTCTGTTGAAGGATTTTGCTTTACAATGTGACATGCAGTTGTTGAAATAAACTAATCGAGGAAAAAAAATGGGAGGTGGATTTAGAGTGCTCCATCTGGTTCGGCCCTTCCTTTCGTTTCTGCCCGAGGTTCAGACCGCAGACAGGAAAATTCCATTCAGAGAGAAGGTTATATACACTGTGATTTCCCTGTTCATTTTCTTGGTGTGCAGTCAGCTGCCGTTATATGGCATCCACTCAACAACCGGTGCAGATCCGTTCTATTGGATGCGAGTTATCCTCGCCTCAAACAGGGGAACTGTGATGGAGCTTGGAATCACCCCAATAGTGACATCTGGGCTGGTTATGCAGCTTTTGGCGGGGTCGAAGATCATTGAAGTTGACAACAACGTGCGCGAGGATCGAGCCCTTCTGTAAGTATTATAGAAAGCTTATCGTGTTCATTACGTAGTAGGATCATTTGAAATGATATTTGTCTGCTGACGAATTTGTGTGACTCTTTAGTATTAATGTATTATTGTTGGTGCATGAGAATTTATAGGTTGAGTTTTGCTTATATTAACACCGCGGGACTTTAAACATGATTTATAATTAATTTATATGAACTCTTTTGGATGGAAAATATGAATAAGGTTTCCGGAGCATTCTTGAAACTCCTGTTCGTGCTTGTATCTTTTAGATTTCAAGTCTGAGCCAAATGCAGTTATGTGTTTTTTCGATGTGTCCAATTGTTTTGCTAGTCTAGTGTGTTCATACGCTTCTTGGGGCCTGAAAATCATATGACTTTTCAGCTGCCAATACATTGTCTGTTTCTTTATACTGTCAATTTTCTTAATCGTGATATTTTTTGTCTCTGTTGACCAGAAACGGAGCACAGAAGTTGTTGGGCATCTTGATAGCAGTTGGTGAGGCGGTTGCGTATGTTCTTTCAGGAATGTATGGCAGTGTTGGCCAACTTGGAGTTGGGAATGCAATCCTTATAATTTTGCAACTCTGCTTTGCCGGGATTATCGTGATTTGCCTGGACGAACTTCTCCAGAAAGGATATGGTTTGGGCTCTGGTATTTCACTCTTCATTGCAACCAACATCTGGTAAGTGATGATTGTTTCATTTATTCTGCATTTATTTATTTTTTGGACAAGAATAATTTTATTTATTTACCTCTTGATTTTTCTTATTTAACAGTGAAAACATCATCTGGAAAGCATTTAGCCCAACCACCATCAACAGTGGGCGTGGAGCTGAATTCGAAGGTGCCGTTATTGCTTTGTTCCATTTACTGATAACTCGGACAGACAAGGTTCGTGCTCTTCGAGAGGCATTTTACAGACAGAATCTTCCCAATGTTACAAACTTGCTTGCCACTGTCTTGGTCTTCCTTATCGTCATTTACTTCCAAGGATTCCGTGTTGTTTTGCCCGTGAGGTCGAAGAATGCTCGTGGTCAACAGGGTTCATATCCGATCAAGTTGTTCTACACTTCCAACATGCCCATTATCTTGCAATCTGCACTTGTCTCCAATCTTTACTTTATTTCCCAGGTAACAAGCTATTCTGATCGTGTCATTTGAGTCGGTAGTTCCATTTCTCTTTAATACTTAGGCAAGCTAATGCTCGTTTGTGTTTCCTCAGTTGCTTCATAGGCGATACAGTGGAAATTTTCTTGTGAACCTTTTGGGAAAATGGAAGGAATCTGAATACTCTGGTCAATCTATCCCTGTCGGTGGTCTGGCTTATTACATAACTGCACCATCCAGGTAATAAAGATTCTCCATTTTTGTTCATGTACTGATAAGCATAACATCGTTTTTTTTTCCCATTTAAGACCATACACTCACTCTGGAAGTGATTGCTGTTGTTTTGCAGTTTGTCAGATATATTGGCCAATCCTTTCCATGGACTATTTTATATCGTGTTTATGCTATCCGCATGTGCCTTGTTCTCAAAGACATGGATTGAGGTCTCGGGATCCTCTGCTAAAGATGTGGCTAAGCAGCTGAAGGTATATGTTTATACACATTTTAATGGTTTATTCTTAGTCTTGTCTCGTGTTACGATATTGCTCGACTTTGAATGTAACCTTTAGCGTTATTCTGACACTAATTGCCTTTGAGCTTGCATGAAATTGGTGCTAATTTGAGTTGTTGGCATTACACATAACCTAACCGGTATATACGAAGATAAACACATCTCAGTAAATCGCTTGTATATCTTTTGTAGTGATAGTTATTGAGGGAGAACAGTGTTTATCTTATCAAAAAACAATATATATTTTATTAATATATATATCTGGATGAAATTTTGGATGAAATTTACAGGAACAACAAATGGTGATGCCTGGGCATAGAGAATCGAACTTACAGAAGGAGCTGAACCGCTACATCCCCACCGCAGCAGCTTTCGGCGGCATGTGCATCGGTGCACTAACGGTGTTGGCCGATCTTATGGGTGCTATTGGTTCCGGCACTGGAATTCTATTGGCCGTGACTATCATATATCAGTATTTCGAGACGTTCGAGAAGGAAAAAGCAAGCGAGCTCGGTTTCTTTGGTTTCTGAAAAACAGTGCAGCAAAACTCTCTTATTTAGCTAATAGATTTATGGTTTAGCAAAACAATGCCTCTTAAAACTTTATTTCAATTTTGGTATGTTGAGGAATGTAGAGAGAAAAAGAATATTCCCTGTTTATGTTGACACATCTTGGAAATGAAGTTCCTAATGGAAGATTGTAGTTTTAGTTTTAAATTACTTTCTTTTAATTTATATCAGTTAAAAATACACTTTATAGACAATGTAGTGATGATGTATTATTTAAATGGTTGGTGTTTAAGTTTTAAGTCACGTGATTAAAATGGGCCGGAACTCATTAAGAAATTAATTAATTAATTTATTAAAAATATGAAATAGAAAACTCAATACAGTATTTCAATTTTTAAAATTAACAAACCAAATCAATCAATTAAAATTTATTGGCTGTGTAAAATCTAATGTAAGTAATCAAAAGTTAATTGTAAGTATCTTATATATAAAAGAAAGAAATGTTGAGCAACGCTAAAAAACTCTAATGGTATTTTCTGTAATTATTTATTTTTGGGTAAATTACAAACACTCCCCTGAGGTATGACCAAATTACAAAAACACCCCTCTTGTTTGGATAATTACAACCACCCCCCTCAACTCATCAAATTTAGTGGAATCTTCAAGATTATATGGAATATTATCATTTTTGTTCCCGTTTTATCCCATTCAAACTCTACATTATGAAGCAAGATGACCATAATATGTGATTTTTAGCTTGTATATATCAGTTTGTGGTGCATCGAAAACTGTATTTTTTACACAAAGAGTACAAACTAGAGCACATTTCACGGAATCTAGATGACTATGTTGAATTTGGCACCAAAAAGGTAAGAAAAAATCATAGTTGAGGGGGGTAGATGTAATTATCCAAACAAGAGGGGTTTTTTTGTAGTTTGACCATACCTCAGGGGGTGTTTGTAATTTACCCTTTATTTTTTATATTTTTTCTCCACTAAGTTCTAACTATAAGTTCTAACTATAATTTTTAACAATTATCAAAAATAAAACTAAGCCGTGAAGAATCCTACCTTATTGGTACTTATGTAATTATTTATTTTTAATATTTTTTTCTCTACTAATTTTTTAACTATAATTTTCAACAATTATTAATTTCCTATTTTTCATCAATATATCTCAAATCTTTAGAGATAAAGCTAGAAATTCAATTTGTTAAATCTTAGTTTATTTATTTGGATTAGAAATATTAATATGTAAGATTTGAGTTTCATTTTAGCTACCCCATCTATTTTATAGGGGTAATTCGTAAAATCCAAAATATTATATTAACCTTTTTCAATTAATATTGTCATAAATTAATTGAATGAATAAATTTGTGGGAATTTGTGTAAGGGGAGCCATACCTTTTCAATTTAAGGTGCATATTTGATGGAGATAAACATTATATGATCTATCCTTATAAGAAAATTGTTATAAGGATAGAAAAACCTAATAGAAAATTGGACTGTTTGTAATTTTTCGTAATTTAATCTTAATTTAGAGGTGTCGGCTGTAATTTACCCAAATAAAAAATAAAACTCAAATTTGTTTATTCAACCTTGGCAATTTATTGATCGAACCAATTTGAAGTTGCAGGTGATATTATTAAAGGATTCCTTTTAGGGTAATAATGGTGGACAAAGAAAAAAAAAAGCTGCTGATTTTGGGATACTGAATCTTATCTTTAGCCAAAAAAATCGGTTTGTCACATCAATCTTTATTTCTCAATTATTTGAACCCTCAGTCACTTTCTTTTGCCTTTTGGTATAAAAGTATATACACTATAGTATATAGTATATAGTACGAACTGTTAATATTGAATAATGGAATGTAAAAAGTGAGAGTTGACCACATATTCACTTCGCATTGAAATTCATGAGAGATATATAGTTATTTATTATATTTTTAAATTGTACCAAGAAATTTGCAATTTGTTTATTCTTTTGGGTTTATAGATGAGGAGAGTAGATGAATTCACTTCAATAGTAAAATCATGTTTAGGAAGATATATTTATTAGAATTTTTGTTGAACTAAAGTAATATAGGGCTGAGAATAGATGAGTCGAACAATTATCGGTCAACTACATTTCCGAACCAATCAATTGATTTTGCTGAATATTGAAAATCATTATTGGTCCGACCAATATGGGTCGGATAATAGTTAGCAACTGGCTTCGTCCAAAAAACAATTGGTCGGTTGGTTGGTATTATCGGCATCGATTTTTGAAATTTTATTTATGTATTTTTTTTACAATACTAATATGTTTTAAAAGTTTTAGAAAAATATTCAAAATTTTATAAAAACTTATGTTGCAAAAATATTATCGGTAAAATTAAGAGTTTTTTTTTTAATTGAACTTCTACAATAAATAAATAACAGGGTAAATTACAACCAATCCCCTGATGTATGGTCAATTTACAAAAAATCCCCTCTTGTTTTGATAATTACATCTACCCATCAACTACGATTTTTTTTCTTACACCTCTACCCTTATGGTGTCAAATTCAACATAATCACCTAGATTTCGTGGAATGTGCTCTAGTTTGTACTCTTTTTGTGTAAAAATACAAATTTCTAATGCACCACAATCTGATATATACAAGCCAAAAAACACATATATTATGATCATCTTGCTTCAAAATGTGGATTTCGAATGGGATAAAGTGGTACAAAAGTGATGATATACCATATAATCTCGAAGATTCCACTTAATTTGAAACCGCAAGGGTGGACGCGTAAGAAATTTATAGTTGATGGGTGGTTACAAGAGGGGAATTTTCGTAATTTAACCATTTATCAGGGGGTGGTTGTAATTTACCCTAAATAATATAATGAAGAACATAAAATAATAATTATAAAATAAAAATAGTAGTTATAAATTTGTGTTTCGAGTTTTTTAAATTTTGACTTCTTTAATATATTATTTTATAAGAAAATAAGACTTACAATTAAATTTTTATAATAACTTTTTATTATTAAAAAATTTAGTTGGCCGATATTATCCGACCAACCGACTTTTGAGTAAAGTAATAATCAGCAACCGACGCATTTATATATGGGTTTTTAAAATTACCGACCCAACTATATAGGTTGATTAATTGTCGGTTATCCACCAAAAAATGGATCGAAAGTGGGTTGGTTGATTGATCCGAGACCCACATATATGTATTTCAGTATTTTTATAACTTGGATGAAGAGATTTTTTGACCTTGTACTAGTCGATCATATAACCACCCAATGAGCTAATATATGATACATTAATAATAATAATAATAATAATAATAATAATAATAATAATAATAATAACAATAATAACAATAATAATAATAATAATAATAATAATAATAATAATAATAATAATAATAATAATAATAATAATAATAATAATAATAATAATAATAATAATAATAATAAAAGAAGGGCTGTGATACATACAACCTGATTTTCCTAGTTTGGTATGTATTATTAAAAACTTTAAGATTTTTTTCAAACGAAGCAATCAATAACCAGATTATCCCAATTAAATCTACGAGTTTGTGTTTATTAAATTACATCAATCAAATCATCCACGTTTCTCTGTCTTTAATTTGCCATAATAAATCGTAACCCACCCCCCAAAAAGTGTAATAAATGCTACAAAATCTATCAATTTGTACCATCAAAAGAAAAAAAAATAAAAATAAAAAGGCAAAATTATTCAACTTTATATCCGCCTACTAGTAAATGCCAAGAGCTTAAGTCAAACGATTTCATTTAATATTAAAATTATCTTCAATACGTCCTCTTATAACTCTTAAATACGCGAATTACATTTGAAACATGCATTTGAAACAGGTGGTTGTGAGATTTGAATTCAAAACCTTTTACTTGATTTGGCTTTAATACCGTGTTAAACGATCACCTCAATCAGAATCTTAACTATTAGTAAAATGCATCATTTAATATTAATAACTCTAATATTTTCATCTACACACTATACACACACTATACTGATGTCGAAAATAAACAAACACAAAGAAAATAGATTCAGATGTTACATAATAAAATATGTTCTTTTTTTTTTTCTTTTTTGTCAAAATAAACAAAAAATAAATACGATGCAAAATAATTTTGGATTATATAGGATTGATTAATTTAAAAAAAAAAACAATAATATAATTACAATAATAATAATAACTAAATAAAGTATACGAATTATTTTAGTACCGCGACCAGAAAAATACAACTATCCGCGTACATCCCCTTCTGAAACACCGAAACCGTGTATTGCAGATACCGTACGAAGTTACCAATTTACCCTTCAGATGACACCTAAATTCCCTGTCTTAAAATATATAAAGTAAAGAAAATAAAAAGGAAAGAGGATAAAACCGTCCAAACAAGAAAAAGCAAAATAAGGAATTTGTCCCCACGCCGTGATTTTATTTCCCAAAGCCTTTTTCCGTCTACCATATTTTCCTCTTTGCCCCTCCGTGGTCATTTTTGTCTTTTCCACTTTTACCCCCCGCCCCACCCCCTCACCCCCACCTTGGTTGAACAAATTAAGGTACCAAACATTGCTGCACCCCTCCA